TACCCGAAATAACAGTGGCCCTGAATCTAAATTCAGAAGGGAACAATTTCCATGTCTGTGTCTTAATCTCAATATGATTAGACTATTTTAAAGGTTTCTTTTTAAATATCAGATTTATATGAATTTAACTGTGTTATTCCTTTCTTATAGCATTCACTCACCTGGCCCTTGGCCTAGGGTCTCTTACAGCAAAATGATCATACTTTTCTGAGCATCTACATTGAGAAGAGCATTTATATAACATATATAGCAATAGTGTCAGCATAAATATGCTTTTCTTTCAAAAGGAGAGATTTGCATTAAAATGCAAAGAAAATGATGCAAATAAGATTGGAAAATAGCTTTTTCATCTCTTCCACTCTCTAAGGAGGTGTGAGTCTAAAAATTGAAATTTAATCCAGAAACTGTGTTCATACTCCATAGAGTTTTCAGTGGGGAGAGTAGTGTAAATCATAATAATGTATTGTTTTGTTCACTGTAATTTTGCCCTATTTTCAGAGCTAGAATTAAAACTACCATTTTTAGTAGGTTATTAATATGAAATATCAGATTTCCTTAAGTACTAAGTTCGATAGTTGATATCGCTGACATTTCACTTTGGCACTTCTTGTTTTATTTTCATTGAAAAGGTACATACTCAGTCTTTCAAATGCATGGTTTGGCTTGTGGTTATCTTTCATATTTTTATTTAGAACAATTTTTGTGAAACCATGGATAAGTACAAAATTCATGTTCTTTTTGAATATGAGTTCCATTGTGGAACCAATGCAGTGCAGACAGCTCGAAATATCAGTGAAGTGTTTGGGAAGGATGTGGCTGATGAACACATAGTATGTCATTGGTTTCAAAAGTTCTGTTCTGGTGATTTTTATCCTGAAAATTAATTATGTGTGTGACCTGAGACCAACGTGGATAATGATCAGCTGAAAGCTGTAGTGGTAGTGAATCCATCTCAACCTACATGTGAATTAGCAGCAAGCTTTGACATGACTATTCCAACAATATTAGACCATTTGAAACAAATAGGCAAGGCAAAGAAGCTGGATAGATGGGATCGGCTTGAATTAAATGAGTGTCAGATGATAAATTTTCTCGAAGTTTACCTTTCTTTGCTGTTACGACATAAACGCGAACGCTTCCTACACTGTATTGTAACGTGTGATGAAAATTGGATTCTTTTTGACAATTGCAAATGTT